CCCCCACAAATACCCAAGCAATCTCGGGGAGTACCTGGTGGAGAGGCAGCTCTGGTGCTATTTCTGACCAAGAGAAAGCACTCCAGTGGTGAGTTCAGTGGCACCCACAGCCGTATGCACGGTATATGTGGAATGCACCACTGGCAGTGGTGAGACGGAGCAGTGCTGACCACCCCATTGTTCAGTCAGATTTGACCCTGCTGGTCCTCTGTCATGAAGCAGGGTCGGCGGGTGGGGAGGGCATGGAGTCAAAACTGAGTGCCTGGCATCGCAACCTGGTACATAGGGGTAACAGTACCATGATGGAGGGGCTACGGTGCCAATTCTGAGTGAACAATGAGGTGGCCAGTACTATTTCTTCTTACCACTGCTCTGGCTCCAGTACCAGCACTCCCCATCTCCCTGGGGCCTGCCTGGCCTCACCTGGCTATGGGGAGGAGATGGCTCCACAGGGATTGAGGATGCGTATCATGTTAAACATTTCTGGGGGTGCCCCTGAATGAGTCCACTGCTTTACAGAGGCTTTCCATTGACTTCAGTGTGTATCATACTTTATGTGAGTAAGCAACACTCACCACTTATGGGATTCTGCAGGATTGGGCCCTTAGCCTGCACCAGAGACAGGTAAGGAAAGAGGGACAACCCAGTTAGAAGTAGGTGACAAAACAGAAAATGTTTCCGTTTTTGACAATGCCATTCTTCAGACATATTTTGGCCTCAAGCTACATGGTTATGCAGCTATAATAAGAACAGCCTCAGCTTTGTTATTCTGTACCAACTGCCTACGTAAGCAGAAAAATCTATTAACATTTATCTCTGCTTATTTAGCTATGAAATTTATTGCTACTGTGGTTGAATAAAGTCCTCTTCAGTTGACCTCTGCATAACAAATCTTGACCATATAATTGCCACAGCTTGAAGGCATCTCATGTTTTAGTTTGCAGTCTGGTAAACTATTGGACAGACGGTGAGCTGTGACCAAAAGAGAACATTTGATGTCCATTTTGCAATAAAAGAAATTGTGTTGCGAAAGACTTTCTGGGTTATTTCTTGGAATTGTTCTCTTGTTTCCACACCATTTTTATTTACATGTATATACAAGTTTCTTTTATAACTTGCAAAAATTCACCTGGGAATTCTTGAACTGCATTGTCTCTGACTATATGGTCTGAGAGCACAAACTTTATGGACCACAGGGGCCATCAGGTTTACAGTCATTTCCTTGTGTCAAGTTGTTTAAATGTAAAGCTAGACCTCCTACATATCAGAACAGTAACAGCTCCTTTGTTTAAATGACATCCCCGGCCACTTCAAGGTTATTCCTAACAAGGATAGTAATGATAGACATCAACTCTAAGGAGACACTGTAAAAAACCAGGTATAAGCTTCATCAATATACCTACCTCATTACATGAGCTTAGTTACTGTAGGTGAGCTGAGGATGGCTGAAATGGGATCCACACAAACCATTATGATAATAAAGTATGTTTCAAATGCTTTATTCAGTGGGCCAGATTTACACTAGTCTGCAATTGTGGAAGCGAACAAAACCTGGCAGAGTGCTCCTAACAGTGGAGAGTCTGCATGGCGGGGAGAAGCAGCTGCTCACCACATCCCCAGTGCAGGATCCCCTGGCAGGATTATAAGCGTGCTCCTGGCAGAGACTAAAGCAGCCTTCTTGTGGAGGAACACTGTCTGCCCTCTCTGGGGAGCAAAGTCCCCTTGGGATGCAGCAGCCCTGGCTGGGACAGGGAGATACAAGTTGCACCTCCTTGCACCAGCAGAGGTGATCTCAGTCCAATTATTGCATCACACCAGTATATTGTTTGGGGGCAAATTCTCTGCTGATTTACAATCCATTCAACAGTCTTGCACAGGGTTTTATATTAGCCCACATTTTGGACCCTGTTTAACCTCAAATACTAGTTTAGCCTGCAAGAAAATAGTGTTTAAAATCTGCTCATCAGACTACACAAATTGCTATATTTCATCAGGCCGGCCCTTCCTTTGATCCAATAGCCTGACTCTAACTGGGCCAATTGAAGGTGTTCCAGAGGAAGGCATAAGTAATCTCATGGTACATAATTAGGGAATACCCTGCCCACAGAGGAAGTTTCTTCCTAATCACTGTCAGCAGTTGTCTTAGGCCCTGGAACATGAGGGTTTGAATCCCTTCTCTATTTATATTATCTGTCTCATGTAATCTAATGTAAATATTTATGTTTCATTATCCATATAAACATCTAACATTTTAGTAGCTCTTGGCCTCAAAAATATCCCGTGGCAGTATGTTCCACAGGCTACGCATGGTGTGCAAAATAGTATTTCCTTTTCAGTTTGTCACCTTGCATTTCATTTAACCTCCCCTTGTTATTGTCTTATAATAAAAATGGCAAATAGGAGCATAGCCGTTTTTTCAAGACCTTTCAGTCTTGTAGACCTCTGTCAAATCCCCTCTCTAAAGTGAACAGTCCCAGGCTTTTTTCACACGGAAGTCTTGCCAGGTGTCTAACTACTTGTCACCGGTCTCTTAACGCTTTCTGCCAGTTTAGCTGGACAGTTTCTGAGCTGGGCACATTTATGTTCTTGTACCAAGTTACAGTTCTTCTTCTGCCAGTTAAGCAGTTTGCAGATTTAATAACCGTACAGAAAGGGTGCAGGACAACACGTGCACGTGCCCTAACTCTTCCCAAGAACAGTTGTTTTGGTGACAGGCTCTGAAAGGGTGAGTTCTCTCAAATCAATGGGATTTGAGGGTACTCGCCCCCCCCACAAGAATGCCTTCCGCCACATGAGGGCCATAGCCTACTGAAGGGTCCTGATGTGCAGGGTGGATGTACCTGTGGCATCCCTTTCTTTGCCTTTGCTCGTAGTCTGGAGGGATGCCTGGTCAGAGCCCACTTCCTCTTTTCCCCTTCTAGAAAGAGAGGTAGAGAGCCATGGTGTGGAGCAGTCTTTTGTGCTGATGAGCGTAAAGGGACAGTGCAATGGGAGAGAAAACTCCTTATGACCCTCCCTTCTGCATATCCATAGAAGAACCTGCAGCAGTCTGACCATATAAGTATATGGCATTGTTGTAACTATGGTGATCCCAGAATATTAGCAAGACAAGGTGGGCAAAGTAATATCTGTATGAACCAACTTCTACTGGTGACAGAGACAAGCTTTCAGACTTACACAGAGCGCTTCTTCAGGTCCCCAGCTGCTTAGCCTGGGTTAGCCCTATAGGACATATTCAACTTGCTTACTAGAAAAGCTTCTATTACTTTTTGGAACTTAAGATTATAATTCATTCGTGCGAGTATATGTTCACCTGCTTCAACCTTGGAAATAACTCTTATTTTCTTGAGCTAGTTAATAAATCTTTATGTAGTGTATTATAGGATTGGTTACAAGTGCTGTCTTTGGTGTGAGATCTAAGGTGCAGTTGACCGGGGTAAGTGACTAGTCCTTTGGGATTGGGAGTAACCTGAATGCTTCTGTGATTCCTAGTATAATGGACCACCTATCCCAAAGGTATGCTTACCAATGTGGCAAGATAGATTGGAGTACCAAAGGGAACTGTCTGTGACTCCATGGTTAGGCCAGAGGAATTTACGCTTGATGATTGGTTAGTATAGTATATAAATCTAAGTATAGACCTCACACCCAATTTGGGGTTTGTGCCCTGATTCCTAGCAGTCTGCCCTGAGGTTGGCACTCATGCTCTTGAGTCACTGCAGGCAGCTTGTCGCTGAGGAACCTGAAGAAGAACTCTATACGTTCGAAAGCTTCTCTCATCAACAGAAGGTGATCCAATAAAAGATATTACCTCACCCACCTTGACGTCCCAGAAGTATAGGCACACCCCCAAAACTCCTCAAATATGCACAGCAAGAAGTTAAAAGTAAATGCAATTATATAATCAAAAATTAATTCATAAGCTCATAGCTAAATTCTGCACCCTCTAAAGCTTAAGTGCTGGCAAAGCTCTCACCCTTAATTTGAATTGCGTGGCAAATCCTTTGGCTAGTGTCGTTTAATTTTATTTTTTAACATGTTACTCAGAATCTTTATCTGTTACCTCCACTTTGTTTCTTACTGTGCGCGCACAAACACACAGCATGAGTGGAGGCGTTTGGGCACAGATGCTGTAGACTCAGTTCAGGAAAGTTGATTTTTCTCTTTTAACAGTGAAAGCATAAAATAAAAGCAGTCAGCAAAACAACAAAAATATCAGGGCCTAAGATGCAGGTTATTAATTAAGGTTAATTCCAACCTGATTTTAAATTGGAGGAAGCTGGGGGTGTGGTGTTTTGTTATTTTTTTTTGCTTTTAGGCCTGGAAAATTTTTCCTCATTCTCACATTTTCAGTTTCCTTTGGGTCTTCTGGTGGTTTATTAACACAGGACTTTGGTTGGGATGTGTATTTCTGGGCATTGTAGCATTTGCTCCACACGAACTTTAATTTTATAAACATAACTATTTTTTCTTAGGTATTTTTATTATGCGTATCACCATAGTATCTAGCTGCCTAGTTCAATAACGAAAGAGACCCATACACTGCTTGCCAGTCAACCAGATAGCAGTTGGGAGAGTATCTCATGGAAGTAAGGAGAGGGAACAGGTTGTGTGCATGTTTGGATGAAACCTCTCTTAATAGAGACAGGCCTGGGTAAAGAGGCACAACTCACATTTTCCTCTAAATGGGGGAAGGGGAGGAGGACTCATCCATCTTTCTGGCACAAAAGTGGTCCACAGCAGAGGCCCTCTGCACAAAGTGTCTTTTTCTTGGAATATGAAGATTCACCCTCGGCTCCATCAACGTATTCCTGTACTTAGAGGCTTTTTAATGTATGGGCTTTGCTATGATGCTTGTCATCTAAGGGAATAGACAGGGAGAGGGCCCTATGCTCCATTGTGCACAGAAACTGCAGGTCTGACCAGATCTTATACAGGCCGGTCAATGTGGTGTTTGAAGGAACAAATACGGACACCGTGTAGAATCAAGCAAGTGGGTTTATTACGTACAGCGCTGACAGAGCGTCACCTCGCTTATTAGGCTCAGAGACACTGCCAAACAATTGATTACAATGGATTATATGGATTTTCCATGGGTGGAGGGAAATGACGGGGTAGGCAGTCCCAAACCCCTGGATAGGTCTAGCAGCAAGACAAGATAAGCACAGTAGCCAATGGTCAAAAGGCTACATAATGTCTCCGCCCATGGTTTCAGGTTAACACATGACAATTAGTACACAGGTGTTTTCCATTAAACAATATATAAAGTGTGTTAGTATAAAATATATATATGTTGAATTCTGATTTGGGATCCATAGATAATGAAGTAGCTCCCTTGATTGTTCAACAGGTACACACCTAGGAGTTAAAGCAAAAGGACAAATGAAAAGTATATAGCAATAAAGGTTGTCTTTTAATTATTCATTTGTGTTTGTAAGGCAGGTACTGGCAATGGCTAGGAGGAGAGGTGCACATCTGTGAGAGGGAGGATATCATATCTCATACTGATATGTTTGAACCTCTTCCATAAACTCAAGGCTGGTATGTAGGAAGGCACCTCTTCTACAGAAGGAACAGGGCCCCTTTCATTCCCATGGTCTGTTCCCAACTTTGAGATAAAGCCCCCAATTATAATTTCCACCTGGCTTCTTGCTGACCAAGCTTATCTTAGCAAAAAGTAAGGTTGTCCTTTGTTTGTTCTGTTTCTTAACTAATATTGTTCACTATTTGCTAGGCCTCTGTCTTCTTGACCAAACTCTGGATTTTGGGCCTGTAAAAAGAGCTGACACAGTCTATATACCAGCTTGTAACATGACCAGAATACGGATTTTAGCCCTTCAGTGTCACTGAGGAAGCCTTTCAGAGTAGCAGCCGTGTTCGTCTGTATCCGCAAAAAGAACAGGAGGACTTGTGGCACCTCAGAGACTATCAAATTTATTTGAGCATAAGCTTTTGTGAGCTACAGCTGTAGCTCACGGAAGCTTATGCTCAAATAAATTTGATAGTCTCTAAGGTGCCACAAGTCCTCCTTTTCTTTTTGAGGAAGCCTTGTGTTTGAATAATTCTGCCATGTAAACATCTACTAAGTTGTCTGCTTCTTTGTTGTATGGTTCTTAATCCAGTGGAGTTGTAAGATTGTGAGTTTGGGGATCCTTAGAAAATTGCTTACATTATGATTCCTAGTCTGTGACCATGAAAATGTTTTTGCTTCACTTGTGTCCTTTCTGTAGCACAGCACTTATGTGTCCTTTTCGTTATCAGAAAATTTCTGAATCCTTGTTCATTATGGTAAGAGTGTGTCATTGGTGTCGGAGCATATTCAGCATCAAACCATGCCTAGACATTTTCAGTACAATGGACAGAGACCTGTGCAAAATTGAATAAGACCACTCTGGAGTTAGAGCTGTCTAGTAAATAAGCTTTTGGGTAAAGGAAATAACCGTATCTATGTTGCAACTGATACACAATAGTTTGCATGGTAAACAGCCATCCATGGAAAAGAGGATATAGTGTTGCAGGAGTGGAGAACAGAATTCAGGGGAGCATTGCCTGAGTTAGGAGAGCGGGACTGAGCCCTCTGGAAGACCTAAGCAGTTATGGATCTTCCTTTGTTCATTTTCATTCTTCAGGGTCCAGAGGATAAAATGTTTTTAGAATCAAGCTGTAGGGAGTCTGGGAAAAGAGGAGACGGGGCGTGGGGTGTTAAGTCTTCCTCTCTCTCGTGTATGAAAAAAAGATGGAAAAAACTTCCCAATACCAGCAGTATTTTAATAACTCTGTTTTCTAAAACAGATAGGCAAGTTTTCCACATGGCCGTGGATTGTGCACAGTAGTTACACGACCTTTCATTCTACTTTGTAACCTGTAACTATCTCTGAACAATAGATCTTAGACTTTAAAACTTAAGACATCTGCATCAACAAAGGGAAGGAGGCACTTTCCAAATTTAGAATCCTCTATGGAGCACATTTGCTATGCAATCAATTGCATTCTGGCCAACAGCAGGAATAACTGATGTGCACCTACCAGACCTGATTATATTATAGTTTAAATCTGATTCTTTTGCTCTATGTTTTCCAGTGCCTGCATTTGTGCAAACCTAAGTTTAACAGTATGAGTCAATCCCTGGTGTTTGCAAAAAAAAATTTATGGTATCCAAACAATCAGAAGGTTCAAATGCCGTATGAAAAAGCAAGCATTGTAAGCATGATTTAAAAAGGTTTTTTTTAAATAAGGTATTTTTCATCTAGTAACTTTTACTTTGAAACACTCAAGTAAAAGTTACTAGATGAAAAATACCTTATTTAAAAAAACCTTTTTAAATTGATGCAAATAAGGGTCACCGCAGTTCCCAGAAGAAGCAGGAGATAGTAATATGCTGTGTACCATTGCATTGCTTATACCCCTAATTTTGTTGCAATGCACACCAAATTCCTCAACCACGCAGGAGGACTGTCTCTATTTATGACAGTGGCTGGTTCCCTGCGATAAAGTAAGGAAATAGCTGTGGAGAGGGCCTAATCTAGGTGTAAACATGGGACTTTTGCCCTAGAAACAAGGAACTGCTTTTACATTTCCTTCAGAATAAAAGCCATTCACTATAGTTAAAGTTTTCCCAGGCCCAACTCAAATGTGCCCTATCTTCCTCACAACATTGACCAAGTCGATTCTTGAAGACTTCACAGAACAATGAAAATCCACTTCCATGACCCAGAAACCTTGAACTGCAAGGACAGGTAGAGGGCTGAAATATATGCATGGGCCTTCCATGGGCATGTGGCAGATGAATAAAAGGCTCAATTTAATCTCAAGAGAACTGTTCAAAGGGTTCCTTTTAATATTAATGCAAGTTACTCAAATATACTGAAGAGACTTGGCTACTGTGGAACTCAAGGACGCACAAAGCTGAAAGCATTGTTAGTAATGTGAGACGTGTAAGCAGATTTTCAAATGATATTGGTTGGTATTAAAATTAAACCCAGAGGTTGCGCTGCCAGCCAGCGAGTCATCATCAGATGCACAGATGCATGCGTCTATTCTGGAGGACTTGGGTCAGGCACCAGCAGCCAATGACTTTTTGTATTTACAGGAATAGAAAACAAACTAAAGCTGTATAATGTGTTGCTTCATTTTTAAAATGTACGTGAGCAAAATATATGTAAGGAAATAATGTCAAACCATTGAAGATAAAACTGAATATTTTGTGTATATTATATATCAGGCACCAGCCTAGCTCCAGTGAGGGTTCCCAGCTGTGAGGGGGTAGGGCTTAGAACACACCTCTGTCCTTGGCATCTCTCAATGGCTAGCTTAGATGCCTCCCCAGCCAGCATGCTGGCTTCTGTGGATTGCAGTCTAAGGTGCCTATCTCTCCCCATCCAGGCCTATATGCTTGTCTCCAGTGCAAGGGTATCTTAAGTTATATCTCTAGTGTTGCCCCTATCTTGAGTCCCATTCACATGTAAAATGTGTTAACTGGAGGGCACCTGTGTCATTAACTTGAGTTGGCTGCCCCATCTGGGGTGTAGGCTGAAGCTCAAGTTAATACAAATCGACAGCTGCTAACATGATCACTCTGTAGCGTGGATGCAGGCTACTGCACTCCAGTGCCTTCCCATCATTCCCCGCCCTCCTCCCATGCAAAAGAACAGACATATTCTCCTACAAATCACTGGGAATGAATTCCTAGAGTTCATCTTACTGCAACATAATGTATCCTGGGATATGCCCCTGGAAGTCTTAGCAACACACACCAGTGATTGTAGCACCCGTGCAGATACAGCAGTTCAAATGTTACTTTTCAGATTGGCCACTCTTACTGACTTGAGAGGAGTAACTTGGGTGTACATACCCTAAGTTAACTCTGCAACAAAACGTAAACAATTATACTAACCAGTTCCTATGCACTGCATGTTGAGAAAGTGTGGTGGGAGGCAGGTTAAGTATTTTGCTGGCAAAAGCTATGCGCTCAGACCTTATGTAATCAAATTACTGATCTTCTAAAAAACATTTTTCTAGAATTTTAAATGCCAAATAGAAACAAAATCTGAAAAAACAGGAAGATTCTTTTAGACCATATTAAAACTTGGGAATGCAAGCACCTGATCCTTGGTGTGCAGTTTTAGAAGAGAATTCTGTTGATGAATTCACCAGTGCAACATAGTTCAAAAGTGATTTACAGAAAGAAGTCAGTTATATTAAAATAAAATAATAATGAAAGCCCTTAGCCTCTAAAATGTATGCATGTGCTTAACTCGACCCATGTGAAGAGTGCATAGGAGTTTGCAGAATCAGGACCTAATAGTGTAATAATTTTATTTACCAAGCTCTACCGACTAAAATGAGGGCACCCAGGCTTATCCCACTTTATCTTAACTTTTTTGCTTCTACATTTAAAAGGAGAAACACTGTGTTAATTTTATTTCCTGATATAAAAAGCACCTTTTGGTTGTTATCTTCAAAGCTGAGTAAGGGAGTTAAGCCCATGACTCCCACGGAAATTAATGTGAATTGGATGGCTAATTCCCTTAATCAGCTTTGAAAATATCAGCCATAGGCTACATGCACCAGGACCCAATGCTGCAGTCTTCTCCACAGAGGTGGGGCCCTGTGCAGAGTCCCATGGGCTGCACAGCAGTCAATATGCACTAGAATATGCACTTCATATACTCAGTGTGCTGGTACTGCACACTGGTTCAGTCAGCTGATCCTGGCTCCATCTCAGATAAACAACTGGAAACAGGAATTATCTTAATATGTACATAAAATAGATCAAGACCAGCTGTGGCAGGAACTAAACCCTGAAGAGCTCTTCAGTGCAGAATGCACATGCAGCCTTTCCCTCCTGGATTTGCAGCTCACTATCTGGCTGTAAAGCAATCTGTGGAAAAGGGGAAGAACTTTTCACAGACAAACAAGGAAGGAGAACTACTCCATTCTGTGGGCATTCTGAACGGTTCTCTTGAGATTAAATGTATGGTTTACATCTGTATGGTTCTCTTAAATACAGGAGTGTATGGTTCTCTATAAACCACCATTTCTTTCTGACATTAGTTCACAAAATAACATTAATATTCTAACAACAACGATGCTACTAAGGAAACTTAAACACCTGGAGTTACATAAGATGTAAAGATCATGGCTAAAGGTTGCTGAACACTAGTTTACATATTTAATATGCTATCTAAAATCTAGAAATAATGCACCAGGAAACATTAGATCTATGAGGAATTTCCAAATGCCAGCTGTGTCAGAGCTGTAGTCATACATGTGTTGATCCAGGACTATGAACGGTTCCTTTTAAAGCTATCCAAGTATCAGCTCCTATGCTCTTTCCGAATACAAATAAGGGCTGGTCT